TGGCTGGTGGGTTTGAACCGCCAACCTCCTGGTTTGGTTTCCGAGGCAGTTATCACTATGGCAGTAGATTGCCCAACCTTCCTTCCGAGGAGTGGCTGGGGGGTTTGAACCGCCAACCTCCTGGTTAGCAGTCAAATGCCTTAGGCACTATGCTACCAGAGCTCCTATATCATATTAAGAAATCAAAATTTAAAAAAACATTGGCCAATTGTATTAAAGCAAACTCCATCAATAAACATCAAATGCACTCACCAAATGACCAGACATCAGATTTGCTGCTGTACTTGTTGAAGTGGAAAACTTCAGGAGGGGACCACTTGATTGGGAACTTGGCTCCTGAAGAACTGATATATTCATCATCCAAAACATACCTAAGGTCATCAGATTCAATGGACATTCTTAATTACCTTCAAGTTCTATTTACTTCAAATCAAATCCCTTTAACTAACTCTGAGTTGCTAAAAAAAAAAAAAAAAATTAACTCATAAAGGTTCTGTACAACTTCTCTTCTTGTTAGCAAAAACTATCATTTATCGTGTTTCCTCAATTATATTTATTTTATTTGGATCTCAGAAAATCATAGCATTTTTTCAGTTTAAGGCATGCTCCACTAATTAAGTTACAAAAAGGAAATAAAAGATAAATAAACAACCACTCTTCTTATAATTGAAAAGAATGAATTCAAAGTTGGATGCTACATTTTCTTTCATTATGCATGTAATTTTTGTGGGGCATAGCATAAGGGGGAAAATAAAAGTATTTAAACATACTACTTTTGATGTGAAAATCTCTAATTCCTTAGAATGACCCTACATGGAAAGAGTAACAGACATTTGTGGGTCACTGAGTTACGGTGCTGTACTCTTCAAGGGCTGCCAAGCTGCAGAGTATTAAAAGAAACTCCCTCTACCCATGACAGTCTAGAAGGACTGAAGAGCAGAACAGAACCTGTGCTTGCTTTGCTAGGTAGAGCCCTAGGAGTGGCAGAAAGATTCCAGATAACAAATGGCTGTAGATGTGCCTCAGTAAACTTGGCGTTAGATAGTTCCACGGAGTTTTCTAATCAAAGAGAATGCCAGAGAAATCTCAGACAGAAACTCAAGATGAGGCCGCAGCTACTACCTGTGTGGATGACCAGCCAAGGACAAAACAGAGGACAATGTGAATGGATAAAGACAGGGACCAGAAAGGCTATTTCCCTACCAAGACTGTGTTCCTATGAGACACATAGAACTTGGACTCTGAAACTGAGATGAGTCGGGGGAAAAACCCTGAATTCACTGGGATTAAATTTCTAGCACCCTAAAATAACTCACTCACTGCCACTGAGTCAGTTCCAAATTAGAAAGATCCCCTTTGGGTTTCAAGGCTGTAAATCTTTGCAGAAGCAGAATGCCTGCCTAATCTTTCTTCCACAGAGTGGCTGGTGGGTTCGAACCACCAAATTTTGGTTAGCAGGCAAATGTCTTAACCATTGCACCACTAGAGCTCCTTCACCAAAATAAAATGAAAAAACCAAACACACTACTGTCGAGTCAGGTCTGACTCATAGCAACTCCTCCTTGGGTTTCCAAAGCGGTATCACTACAGAAGTAGATTGCCCAGTCTTCCTCTTGAGGAGTGGCTGATGGGTTTGAACCACCAGCCTTCTGGTTAGCAGTCTAATGCCTTAGGCACTATGCCTGCAGAGCTCCTCACTAAAATAAAGGAGGCTCAAAATATAAGCTATATTGAGTTCTATTTTTTACACTCTTGAGTCATAGACTTAAAAGCATAACTACTATACCTGATAATAGAAATATGTTTGATGATGATGACATAGAAAATTAGAGATGAACAAACATATATATTGTTTCTTTCAGAAATATGCCAAAAAAAAAAAAAAAAAAAAGCCTTTTCCTTAACCTTACACATGTGATAAGTAGACTCAGAGAACATCTTTGTAAGCTTTTAGGATAAACCAAATTGTTCAGTTTTTTTTTTCACGATGACCTAAAAGAAGACCAGAAGAATAAAAACCACTTGCTGTTGCGTCAATTATGATTCACAGTGACCCATTTTCGATGGTTGACTTTTCAGAAGTAGATCACCAGGACTTTTTTCAGAGGTGCCTCTGGGTAGATTGGAAGTTAGCAGGTGAGTGTGTTAACAATTTGCACCACACAGGGACTCTGATTAGAAGGCTAAACACCAAAACTCAATGTTGAATTGATTCTGACTCATGGCGACGCAATGTGTTACAGAAGCCTACAGTAAACATTTACCTCACTTCTAAAATTGATGTTGTTGTTAAGTGTCATCAAATGGATTCCAACTCATAGCAACCTTATATATAATAGAACAAAATGTTGCTCAGTCCTGTGTCATCTCCACAACAGTAGGCATGTTTGAGCCCAGTGTTGCAGCCACCATGTCAGTCCATCTCTTTGAGGATCTTTCTCTTTTTCAGTGACCCTCTACTTTACCAAACTTGATGTTCTTCTCCAGGGATTGGTCACCCATAATAATACATCCAAAGTAAGTGAGATGAAGTCTCACTATCCTAGCAAAGGATATCAAATATACCATAGACTACCAGAAGAATTAACAAATCTGCTTGAAAGAAGTATAGCCAGAATGTTCCTTAGAAGCAAGGATGTATGTGAAATAGATACATATCCTAAAATTCAAAGTGGGTCAGAGGACATATGACCACACCAACACTTCCCTCAAAGAGAAACAAAGCTAAACTAGTAGTGTCTTCAACTTCTCAGTAGGCAAATGTGCAACTTTTTTATAACTAAACAGAAAAGATATTTCATGTACCTCGTCATTCCAAAGTCCGAAATTTTTATGATACATGTAGAACTGACCAAACAATTCCTTGCTGCCTATAGAAAGAAGAAAAGAATATAAGTTTGAACACAATGTTTTCTTTCAACATTTTCTCCTCTCCTTTTTCTTAGGTTAAGTCTCTTACCACCTCTCTGGGTGGGTGGTCATGTTATTTTTCTGGTAATACCTGTCAATGCTACCTATGATTCCATAACCTGTCTTCACTTGATGAATTTTAATGATTCTTCAGAGAAGTAAGAAAAAAGAAATTTTACCACCTTTACTTTTTAAAATTTGTAATCTTTCTCAAGAAGTACTCATGATATTGAACATTTACCTCAGGTAGATACACTCCTTGGTATACACACTCCTTGGAGAGAACAATCATGGTAGAAAGAAGGGCTGTTTATGCACAGGGAGACAGCTCAGGGGACAGGAGTGTATGGAGAGATGGACACTGGGAAGAGGTACCTATGGGGAAGAAGTGGGAGGGGAGCTGTTGCATTGTGGTAAACGGTGGTCAACGTCATGAGACAAAGTGTATGTGAACTGCTGTATGGAAAGTGAATTTGCTCTGTAAATCTTCACCCAAATCACAATAAAAAAAAAA